TATAACCACCAACTATTTGCTCTGAGTTTTGTATTTTGCCAACTACAAGAGTTTTGTTAATATTATCACATTGTTGATGAAATATAGCAGCATTTAAACCATCCCTACTACTGCGATATAAAAGTTTGAATTCATATTTGACTTCCCTGAATGAATCATATGGTGGACTTTTTCTATCAATCCAACTTGCAAAAAGCAAAGTAAGTCTGTGATTGATTGTTAATGATTCAAGTGTTGGCTTCAAATTTGAAATTCTTGATGGTAATAAATTTAATGTTTGTTGTCTATCAGGAAAAAAATAGTATTGTGAAAGGGATCTCCATAAAGTCCTAGGAAAAAGTATACCATATGGATCAATTTTATCAAAAAAATCCTCTTTAGAGATATCCTGAAATCTTATTAAAGGAATAAATTCTTTCAAAGTGTTGCCCAAATCAGAAAAATTTTGTAATGACCAATCTTCAACATTGATATTATTAATTTCAGGATGTTTTGCTAATCCCCATTTAAGAATGCTTTCCCAAGTAACTATTTCATCAACAGAAAAATCATCTCTTTTGAGAATTTCCAATAGAATTGGTTTTTCCAATAATTCAAATTCATCTGATTCAAATAATTTTTCACTATATTCACAAAATTTTTCCAAATAAATATTTTTCAATTCATTAAAATTTTCGTTAGCATAAATCAATTGAAGAATTTTAACTGGACTTTCTTTTATATAATCTTCATAATTTTCAATAAAGTACTTCATCATATATTCATAAAGTGATTCAATGCCAAGTTCATCTGCTGCAATTAATAGTTCCAATACTTCAGCACCAGAATAATTTTCAATTTCAATTTTACATGTATATAAAAATCTTACAAAATAAATTAATTATTAAACAAGTTATTATTATTATTGTTTATCAATAATAATAAATAAATAAATATATGTATATAAATAAATTTATTTAAACTTACTTGAGAATAGGGTTGAAAAGTTTTTCACTGATATTAGCTTTTTTAATAATATAATATCCATTTTTTTTTGTTGCATTACTTAATTCATTGCTAAAAAATGGACAATGAGCAGATATGATAGATGCATGCGCATGAACTTCTTTGATGTTTGGTTCTACACCAACATATATTTTTATATCATAAAAATTTTCAGTATTTAACAACCTCTCATTTTCGTTAAAATATTTTTCAAATGTTGAATTCATTTTAAGATAAAAAAAAATTATTAATGATAAACGGAAAGGATCGACATGCATGTGGAATTTAAAATCCCACTTTTAATTGTTTCAGTAGGTGAAGTAAAGCCACATTTACATTATTGGCTAAATGTAAGAGAGTGGAGAGTAAAAGTGAGATGCAACTAAGTTGGATTTGTTATGTATCTATTGAAGAAGTCTTTGAAATTTAGCAAATTATAATATATCATCATCATCATACTGTAATTGTCACATATTTTGCATATTATTAAATCATATTAATTGAGAGTATGAATATGTTATTTATTATAACTAAGTAATAGTTAATAATGATTTATTTTTTAATTATATCAAAAATATTCTAGTTTATATTATTATAATAACAACATTACATTTAAAAAATAGATTTATAATTAACTAAAACTGTGAATGTTTATTGTAAGTCAAATTTGGTTTTTCTAAAACAACAACAATAATAATGGTCGCGTAATAATTTCTGAGTGTATACCATCAAAGGATAAAACTTTTGATAAAACTATACACCTTAACAAATGTCTAAATTATTTTTTTTTTCACCAATGATAGAAATTCAACATCAAAATATTCTAGTTGACATTACTGTAAAAATACTATATAAATATACTACTATTAATAAAAGGGTATGTATACAATATTGCATTAATTAAATTTTTTCTTTTTCAAAAAAAAAATAGATTATGGTAAATGATAATAATGAAAAATATATCAAGAAAAATTAATAATGTATTTATTATTTTTATTTTTATCAATTACCCAATTCATCAAATTTAGTACCACGTACTTTAAGTCTTTGGGTCACTATAAAATGAAAATAATCATTTATATGAAATAAAAATCGGTATAATAACTCAACAATAGGATTGTTTTATAATTCAAACATTTTATAATTCAAACAGGAGATGTTGGATCTTTTACGAGATTTTAAAGGAATAGAAAATGAGGTCATTGATGGAAATCATTAATAACATCTTGAACCATTGCAAAATATTGAAGAGGTAACTATACCATTATAAGATTGTATTATATATAATAAAGAATAAAACTTATAGCTGTTAAGGCATTAATTTGTGTGATGTGATTGAATAAGTGACATATTGTCAGCAAAATCTCTTTCATTACCATGATGTTTATAGACAATGAAATATCAAATGCTGGCAATTACTGATTGGGTGGACATTTGTGCATGTTTTCTGAATATTATTGATCCATCTTTATTAAGAACGAAAGTATTGGAAATTCTTCCGCAGGTTAGTGATAGATAGATTAAAGTTATTATGTCGTGTATAAACTGATGAGTCTACAGCGGATGTTAAGTTTAGTTTTGGTATGTTACGGCTGAAGGCTTTGGGGCGTCGGCCTGGAAGAGCAATGTCGTAAGATGTTGAAGGTTTCTGCTCCCCATTGCTGTGCGTGACTGTCCAGCCGAAACAGTGCTGAGCAAAGAATTAGAATATCTGATTGTGTTCTGCGCAGATATAATGACATAATATAAAAATTTCATAATCATAGAGCTAATATACTGGTATTTTTATTGTATCTGCTGTAGATGCAAATCGGATATAAAAATGTTGTGGGATTAAAAACGATGAAGGTGTTACATATGGTATAGTATTTCATATTACATACTGAAAATGGTTGTCTTAAAAACGCTAAACAATGTATATGCTATGGAACTAGTTCCAGATCGTTCAAGAGAAAAATAGAAGAGAATCTTAATATGTTGAAGACCAAACTCGAGGTAAGTGTTAGACCATTTTAATTTTCTGTGCAAACGTTTGAAAAACTTACGAATAACGATTTTATATTTAGCACCCGTGTTGGAAATGGATACAAATCTTTATGTTTCCCTTAGGATAAATTTGGAAAGTATTAGCTCTTCAGACCTTACATGGAAAGTTCTGGAAGGGAGCATGGTACTTAGTGACGACTCAGAGATAGTGAGAGGCTTGAGACCAAGCTATAAGCTTATTTTTTTGGTAAGAACAACTTAGTGTTTAGGTTCAAATATCCTGAGTTTATATATTTACATTCGCTACTAGGAACCACGTGAAAATATGAAATGCATTCTTCCCGGTTCGGTTGTATCCAAGTGTGGTGAATTCATGGAAAATTTCAATGGTTCAAGTGTTTCAAGATATATGGAAAATATAAAGAATGGAAAGAGAATGAACCCGAGCTGGTAAAAGCAGAATGTATACTAGCTGTACTGTGAGTAATTTCATCAAGTACTTATCATGATGCGAATAATTATAGGATAAAACTATCCAACATACTATATATTATCTAGTGACGAGATATGGAGCAATCCAGCATTCTCATCTAGTAAATCTCGCAATGATCAAAGTGAAGGGACATATATTACCTACGTGTAGTTCCTTTACTTCAGGCGAGTTTAGGAGGTCTTCCAAATGGCTATGCCTGCTTGAGCATGTGAGAAGATAGCTGATAAAACATTTGTTATGAAAAAGTGAAAAATTTATACTCATCATATCTATTCACCGATTACAGGGCAGAACGTCAAAGTCTAGCAAGTAAGGCTCGACGAAATATAGGAGTGGATGAGGAACGTATGGGAAAAAAGCCTGATGTTATGATGTTGGTAGAGTATCGAGAAAAAATCATAGAGCTTTTATATACTGAATGTTCACGTATTTTCTGTAGCAAAACAAAAAAAGCAGATGATCGTATGAAGTTGTGGGAAGAGACACTAGATGGGTTGAGTTTGGATTTGACATGGAATTTCTCCAGAATAATTCCAGATGTCTTCCAGCTGCACTTATCACTTATTATTGTTTGTTATATATCCATCTCAATACATAACACTGGACATGGGTAACCTGGTACATAGATAAACTCGATAAGTCGGATTTGGCCTAACTCGGATAAAAATTTCCAGCCCTTTTTTTTTTATATTTAAAAATTTCTTAATAAGCCGGACACATATATAAACTCTTGTTAAGCTGTAAGTCGGACAACTCTTCCAGCCAGATAATAATAAATTACTCTCGATAAATCGGTTCACGTGATTTTCGTAAATATTGAGAGATAATCTTTACTATTTTTAGTAATGCATGATCCAATAATAATAAAATTCGTCATTATTCATGATAGATGTTGGGAAAAAAAACAGGTATTCTACCTGATAATGAAGTTGACCGACCTATTGCTATGGAATTTAATCCTGAAATAGATGAAGTACAATTACTTATTGATCAGATCAATGTTAATAATGATGGTAATATTATTACAGCAAGAAGTTACATTGAGATTGATTCTGATTTAGGAACTGAAATGCTTGATGATGACGAAATTATTGCAACAGTTCAATAAGCATCCGAAGAAGGAGAAGAAGAAGAAGAAGAAGATATTGGCTCATCAATACCTAATAAAAACGCTTTAGAAAAGCATTCAAAATCTATATAATTACTTGCAACAGAATAATGATATACACGTAAATAGTTCATTTGTTTCAGGATTAAAAGATTTAAAATGGAAAATTAATAGAATACAAAATAATTCTTTAGAGAATTATTTTTTCAATTATTATTATAAATAAATAAATGATTTAAACATGATTTTCTTATTTTTTTTTTTGTAAAATTGCATATTTTGGATAAGTCGGATCTCTTGATAAGTCGGACGCCATGTCCAGCCATTTGTGTCCGACTCATCAAGTTTATCTATGTAGTATCCAATGGAAAGATTTGTGAAGTGGTACGTTCTAAATAACAAATTTCAAAGATCAGATTACTAAATAGATCAGTTTCTCTCATCTCCAGTACATGACTGAAATAAACCAGAAACTATTTGGAACAAATCTGAAGGAAACATCAAATTGTTCTGAAAGCCACATCTTTTACCTATTAAAGAGAGATCGTACTCACCATCACAAGTATTGTAACTCCTCAAATTTCACTATTGAGCAAACATGCCATCCAAACCAGCTTGTAGTAAGATTTCTATTTATTTATGTTTTCAATTTTAAAAAAAATTCTAGTCTTTTGATACATTAGAATATGGAAACTTCAAGCAGAACATAGACTGTTGATTAATTCAAGTTGAGGATGAATGTCGAAAGAATCATAGGATGAGGAAATAAAAAATAGGTTTGGATTATGTTGGATCAAGATTTTTGCTATAGCAAATAAATAAGATTCATATCATGGACATTGAAAGTGATAAAGAAATTCTAGATGTGATTTAAGTTACATAGTTAAATTTTGGCGAAACAAACAATGTTTACGCTTCTTAAATCAATTAATAAACTTTTATTTTTCTGCATTTAATTCTAATTTTCAATTCTTTACATTGAATATTAACATTATGTTGCATTGAAGGTTCCTTAGTAATCACCTCAAATTTATATTTATTATATAATAAAACAATCATCATTTTAAGTTGGGTTATTGCCAATTGTCTACCTGGACACATACGTAACCCGCCACCAAAATACATGAATGCATTTTTATTATAAATTTCTTCGCTGCTGTTGCTACTATTTGCTAGAAATCTTGAAGGATTAAATTCCATGGGTTCTTTCCAGTAATTTGGATTCTTGTGTAAACCCATCATATTTATCGCTAATTGTGTTGATAATGGAATTTTGTACTCATCAATTTGATCGGAATGTGTCGAGAAACGTGAAATCGTTGCTGTAACAGGCCTGATTCTTAACACTAGAAATATCATAATGCTTAATATGAATAATGTTTAATCAATCAAATTAGATGATTTAAAAGAATACTTACCTTCTTTTATCACAGCTTCAATATATTCAAGTTTATTTAAATCTTCATTGATATTGTTAAAATCAACTCCATGATCAAATACCTTTTCAATTTCATCAACAATACGCTGTTCAACATCTGGATTATTTCCAACACAATGAAGAATGAATGATAAAGCATTTGTGGGCTTTAAAAAAGCCATCATTAGTAACAATTTGTCTTAAAAAAAATAAAATGAATATTTGATATTAGTACATACACTATCAATTCCTTCACTAATCACTTCTACAATATTATCACCAACTTCTTTATCAGTCATAGAATTCTTGTCGCTATTGTTGGAAATACCTTGAGTAATATCTTTTGGTGTATTAGCGATCAATAACATACTTAACATATCAGGTTTTAATTTACTTTTATCGTCGATACTTTCAATCTCTTTTCTACGCTCTTTGACTAAATTGTATGCATAATTTCTCGTCCATATCATGTTCTTGTATAGGTAATTTGTATATATATTTACGAATGGAAGATTACGTATGAATGATGGAACTGATACATAATATTGCACACAGTCAGATGCAATAGCCAAACGATCCAAAAATTCTTCATTTGAATTTTTTTGAATGTTATTTTTATTTGTGATTCTGTTATAGTAAGTTGATAATAAATTAGGTTGTCGGCCAACTATCAGTAACATTGTAGTTTCTGCGAAAATTCTTTTTGCCCAAGTTGCAAAATCAATTTCTACCGATTTTTCTTGCTCATCATGCAAAAATTGTCCTTGTTCTTCGATCAAACTATCCCATAGCTTTTCTAAATCATGAAAAACGTTATTGAGTGTGGTTACGGCAAACCTTAAAGCACTAGGTGACACTGTGGCTCTGATTAAAACTTTCCTAATATAGGACCAAGAATTGAAATCTTCATTAAATAATATTCCATTGTTGCTCTTCTGCAACTCATCTAATCCTTTTCTAGTCGCAACACGAACAAAGTAATTACCATCCTTTGCTGGGCTCATTACTCGTTCGACTATTCGCAGATCACTAATCATCAAGCATTTATCAGATCCAAAATACAATTCAAATATGTCCCCATATTTCAAGCTCGATTGATGAAGCCAAGATGGAATATCCTTCCTATGATAAAAGTATTGATACATGTTACCTATGATAGGCAATGGAAGTGGGCCCGGGTATGGAATTGAACGAGTGAAGTAATTATAATAGAATTTTATAATAGATAACAGAATAATAAAAGTTAAGAGCTTTAAGAGTTCTAAAATTGTCAGATTGAATTCTTTGTAAAATAACATTTCTGAAAACGTGTTTATTTTGAGGATGTGTAAATGAATTATTGATAAACTTGTTTAAAAAGAAACAAATCCCAAAATAAATAAAATAGTGGAATAGGTAATTGTACTAAAGAGAGTTACAATAAAATCATCAAAGGAAACAATGGCAAATGTTTAATAATAAGATTATTTATAAATAATCCCAAATTTTTTATTGACCAATCATGATTATTGCCGATTATTTTATCAATAGTCGATCTTTTTTAAAGTTTTTGCAATATTCAAAATTGATTGGATAACTTCCGATAATGCCCCAACTGAATTTCATACACCGATTCCTACAAAGTTAAGTTCGACTTACCAAAAATGACTATTTTTATATTTTGGTTAGAAGATTTTTTAGTTATGGGGCGGTTTTAAAAAATGGTCGAAAAATATAGAAATTTTATCATGTTTCCGTTCCACTCAGATTTACAAGGTCTTTTATTATGTTATTTATCTGTTATTTCAAAAATTTAGTATCAAAATTTTTTTTGATTATAAAAGGATCTTTATGTTATTATAAATTTGATTAGAAAACCCCGGAACCATGTTTTGTTGTCACCAACCCAATACGGTGAGTGATCGAATTTGAAGTAATATTCAGCAAAAAAATTATTTCTATTAATATTTGATCATTGATTTTTTAATTTGCCAATATCTGCATCAGATAAACTTCCTTTGCTTTTTTTGACTCATAGGACATATGTGCAATAGTTTTACTTATTAAACAGTTGCTAATTATTTGTGATTTAGAATTCGCTTATATTTTTATTATATTATAATAAATCATACAGGGAATCCCATCAAATGTGCATTGGTAATTATATTTACACTTCATGTGCAAAATATATAAAGAACTTTTAATCAGCATTAAGCAGAGTTATCCAATTTTTAGATGCAAGTGTACATTGATATTCACAGTTGATGTTGGAAAATCTCTAGTCCAATAAATGTTTGGCCATTAGCAAAACTTCTACACTGACAATCGTAGATCGTGCAATAGAGTGCATTAAAAAGTCTCTGATAAGACTATATTAATGTTAATATTAGATTAACTTGAATTTTCGTTAGTGCAATGCATAAATATATGGATTGAACTGTGGCTTACATACTTTAAATTGTAGTTTAATTGTTTTGATTGAACCTCAGTTCAAACTCCATTTGAACTGCGATTTAGACAAAAGAGTCAGGATTCGTGTCTTTGTTAATTATGCAAAAATTTTTTTGCCCATTAAATCTACACCATATGTAGCTTAGGTTTTGATAAAGTTCCCAAGCTTTTCTATAGCTTGCTTAAAAACTTCAATTAAAATTTAATTATCGCGTTTTTATAATTTTCATTTATTAATCAACTATAAATGATATAATTATGTAAATTTACATTTATACTGTTGAGACCAAGCTAAAACTGATATAACTTTACTTGTTTTTAATAAAAATGAAAATGTTATCACAACTTTCATCCATATAAAAATTCGCGTACACTTAAGTAATTAGTGAAAATTTGCTTTTATCTAAAGATTAAATTGTTTTACAGTAAAAATTTATAGCAAAACCTAATTTTAATATATAATATAAAAGCAAATCAAATGATTTTTTTTATCATTCGAGATATAGGAAAGCTTGAAATTTTAAATTTCACGTTAACTATTTATTAACGCTAAGCTACATATGATATAAATTTAATGGGTTGTTATTATGTACGTTTTGGTATTTTCATATTAAATAACGAATTTATAAGCCAAACTGGAGATCTATAAACCAGACCGTTCCAATTCCTACATAAAGACAATTTTTTTTTACTAAAAAAATTATTTTGTAAATGTTCAACACTGAACAAAAATAGTATTAAATGACTTATAATGACTGACCAAACGACTTTGATGACTTGTCATCGGTCAATTTAATGATCAATAAGGTGAGCATCAACTTAAAGATTTTACAAAAACCATAAAAATAAAGACAATGACCGAATTTTAATTATGGATCAATAAGTTGAACTACAAGGTCTGTTGGTTTTTTTTTGTTAGAGAAATTGTAAAATATAAAAAGTCTAAATTAATAGATCATAATCAAAAATTTTGACAAGATAATTATATTTGGAGTCTTCAAAGCACAATATTTCATCGGCATAAGTTGACTTAAAATTTCCACAATTAACAGGGTTGTTGCAACAGTGTCTTGCGTTATTTGTAGTAATGCATCCAGATTTTATTTGTGCAATGGATAAGCTCCAACCTTTGCGTACAACAAATACAAATAGCCTTTGAATTACTCTTAACAAGGACAAATAATCTCGAAAATTATGATTTTTCACTTGACGTATTTGTAAACAAGTAATGATAATAATAGTAACTGATAATTTATTTATAATAAAATTTATAAAAAAAGAAAAGATGTAAATATAGATTATGAATCTTTATTGCAATTTAACTAATGACCTAAAGTCATTCAAGTCATGTCATTGAAGTCATGAAATTTATGACCACGTGACCATAGGTTATCGAGAAAATATGGAATATCATGGTCATTACCCGTTGCTGTTAAATATATCTGGTGACTGCTAAATATTATAAGGCTTTATTCCAATAATTTTATTTACTAAAATATTAAATTCGTGTTTTGTAGAATGAGTTAAAAACATGAATTGTACTTTAATTTTCAAGGAAATATATATTGTTCCTAATTTATGGAATAAATTCTAAAGAATGGCGGATTAGAGCACCACCAACAGCAGATAATATTGTATCCACTTAAAAATGATATGAAAACTTAATAGAACTAACGATATTTGTTTTATAACTACTATTATTAAAGGAAATAAGGAAAATATTGAATATCCTGGTTATATTTGTCAGTGTGGTCCATTTATGACTGAAGTAGATGTCATGACCCTTTATCATAATTTGATCACAGCTGAAGCTAAACATCCTGGCTCAAAAACTATTGCTTTGAGGATATAAAAACTTCGAAAGTCATTTGGAGCATGTATCAGGTGGTAATGGTTATATATCATAATTCACACATACCTACAAAAAATAAAAAATTCAAGCGTGATATTCAATTAGTATTACATGTTGCAATCCAAAAATAAGTAAATAAGATTTATTAATACTCACCAGTTATCCAACATTAGTCCTAAACTTTGCTTGCAAACGTTTGTTAACACTCGCAAGTTGCACAATGTTAATCCTAACTTTTACTCATTAAACAAATAAAACATAGCCATTTACCAAAGCACTTGGCTTTAAACAGAAAATAAATAACATTTTATTTTTAAAAAGATAATAATATAGATTTGAATCTTGATGTGGTGTTTTTCCTTCCCTATTCGAACAATTAAGGACTTGAATGAAGTTATCTTCTATCCCATGCTTTTTCAAAAAAAGACTAGAAGTTCATCCACTTTCATTAAGTTTGTTTGCATTTTTGTCTCCTCATATTAGTAATAGTTATCAAGCTAACATATTCAATTAATTAAATCTGGTCTTATATTTATTGTAAATAAAGTAATCAACAAAAAACATATGAAAAATATATAAAGAAATATAATAATAATCTAATATTTTTTATCAATTATCTGAAAAACTTCTAATTCATCAAATCTATTACCATTCACTATATTGATGTTACTATAATCACTTGGTTTATTACTAACACTACCATCTAATTTAAACAAAACATCATGACCATGACCAAAAAATGGCAAATAAGAAGGATTACAACCAACTGCATAATTATTATTGATAACATAACTAAATTGTGCAGTATTGATATTATTTCTATTACTTATATTAAATATAAAACTTTCGGTTGGAGTTTTCCATAGACAACTTCCACTCCAATTCAATGGGTTATAACCACCAACTATTTGCTCTGAATTTTGCATTTTGCCAACTACAAGAGTTTTGTTGAAATTATCACATTTTTGATGAAATGTAGCAGCCTTTAAACCATCTCTGCTACTGCGATATAGAAGTTTGAATTCATATTTGACTTCCCTGAAAGAATCATATGGTGGAGTTTTTCTATCAATCCAACTTGCAAAAAGCAAAGTAAGCTTTTTATTGATTGTCAATGATTCAAGTGTTGGTTTCAAATTTGAAATTCTTGATGGTAATAAATTTAATGTTTGTTGCCTATCAGGAAAAAAATAGTATTGTGAAAGGGATCTCCATAAAGTCCTAGGAAAAAGTGTATTATATGGATCAATTTTATCAAAAAAATCCTCTTTAGAGATATCCTGAAACCTTATTAAAGAAATAAGTTCTTTCAATGTGTTGCTCAAATCAACAAATAATGACCAATCTTCAACATTGATATTATTGATTTCTGGATGTTTTGCTAATCCCCACTTAAGAATGTTTTCCCAAATAACTATTTCATCAACAGAAAAATCATCTCTTTTGAGAATATCCAATAGAATTGGTTTTTCCAATGATTCAAATTCATCTGATTCAAATAATTTTTCACTATGTTCACAAAACTTTTCCAAATAAAAATTTTTCAATTTATTAAAATTTTTGTTAGCATAAATCAATTGAAGAATTTTAACTGGACTTTCTTTTATATAATCTTCATAATTTTCAATAAAGTATTTCATCATATATTCATAAAGTGACTCAATACCAAGTTCATCTGCTGCAGTTAATAGTCCCAATACTTCAGCACCAGAATAATTTTCAATTTCAATTTTACATGTATATAAAAATCTTTTACAAAATAAATTAATTGTTAAACAAGTTACTATATTATATATTCAATAACAATAAAAAATAATATATATAATAAATTTATTTAAACTTACTTGAGAATAGGGTTGAAAA